AAATGACAAGAGACATCACATTAGCCTAAAGGTTAACTTCCGGACACCTTGGCTGCTAAGTCAAAATGTCCAGAAAGGCACCCTTGCTTTTTGCTAGTTTCAGAATAAACAGACCTCCGCTTCCTTTGTAGCTTAGTAGGTGCTTGGATTCTAAACTGGCCACTCTATAAGAGAACACAATTTGAGCTAAAGCTGTTGCTAATAAATGGTTATATCTACTGCAGTGAAGAGGAAACAAAAACATGGTGTCTGTTGAAAAGTGGCTTGATTCCCTCAATCAGCTAATCAATAAGTATTTGTTAAGCACTAACAATGGTTCTGGGTGCCATGAGCTATACTATAGAAATATAAATCTAATAAAAATATATTCTCTGCCTTATAAGTAGATTAAGACCTAGTTAGAGAGAGGAAGCTTAAGGTAAGTTAAATAATAGTGACCAATGCAGGGTACTATCTAATTCATTACAAAATTATGTGGAATTTTTTTTTTTTTTTTTTGATGGAGTCTCTCTCTGTCCCCCAGGCTGGAGTGCAGTGGCACAATCTTGGCTCACTGCAACCTCTGCCTCCCAAGTTCAAGCGATTCTCCTGCCTCAGCCTCCTGAGTAGTCAGGATTACAGGCATGCGCCACCATGCCTGGCTAATTTTTGTATTTTTAGTAGAGACAGGGTTTCACCATGTTGGTCAGGCTGATCTCGAACTCCTGACCTCGTGATCCACCTGCCTCAGCCTCCCAAAGTGCTGGGATTACAGGCGTGAGCCACTGTCTGGAATTTTTTAAGCACTAATTGGCTGGACAATGTACTTTAGGAATTTGGAAAGAACAAGAGGAGAGTTAAGGCAATGCCATGCAAAGGGACACCCTTAAACACGTATGGAAGGCAAGTAGACATGGTGCATTCAAGGGACTGGGTAGAGAGAGGAGGTGGGCGGGACCGGTGGTTCTGTCCTGGTGAGTAGTGGGAGTGCTGCTGGCCCTGCGAGGCCAGGTCATGGAAACTGGGCACAGCCGTTCAGGCGGTCCACTAAACCTTCAGCATCCAGTACAGTAGCCAGTAGCCATGTATAAATACAGCCATTTAGTACATGTGGCTGTTCAACACATGAAGTGTGACTCTTTCAAACTGATGTGCTATAAGTGCAAAATACACATTGTATTTCAAGACCAGTACAAAGAAGAATGTAAAATTCCTCACTAATCACTTTATACTAATCACATGATGATGGGAAATTATTTTGGATATATTGGGTTAAATGAAATACGTTATTAAAATTAACTTTACCTGTTTTTACTTTGTAAAATGTGACCACTAGAAAACTTTGAATTACCCGTGGGACTCACGTTATATTTCTCTTCAGCAGTATTATGCTAGATTAAAAGAAGTTGTCGTAAGTTGTTGAACAAGGGGAAGGAACTGACAAGAAGTGATACCCGAACCTAGAAATGCCTCTGGAAGAAGCAGAGCAGAGTTGGATACATTGACAGTCTGTCAACTATTTCTTTTAAGGCAACACATTGACATGGCAGGAGTTCATGATTTTTTAAAAATTTTTTTTAAAAATGGAGCTGTGTGAAAGCAAGGCTGTTAAGGCTGTGAGTCACATAGATGATTTAGCCATTGGGTGGTACCTTTCCTTTTATATAAACACCCATCAACAGTGCAGACCCTCTCCAGCCCCTACCCCTCCCCACTCTCACTGCCGTATACTGCTGTGCTTCTTCCCACTAATGGCAGACCCTGGCTGTGGCTGTCTAAATCTTCTCTTTAGCATCACTGACAAGTGGTGGTTTAATATCTGTGTGAATGCCTCCAATGATGAGGAACTCAGTACCTTACAAGGAATTGTGTCCCATTCACTCAGTATTGTTACCAAAACTACTTTCTTCCCATCCTTTTCTCCCTGACAATGCTTAAAGAGAGGGTTAGAGTTCCTGGATCCTTGATACCGGGTAATAAGAGGGGCCTATCATTGTTTTTTAAAAACATGGTGGCTCATACCTGTAATCCCAGCACTTTGGGAGGCCAAGGAGGGTGATGTCACCTGAGGTCGGGAGTTCAAAATCAGCCTGACCAATATGGTGAAACCCTGTATCTACTAAAAATACAAAAAAATAAGCTGAGCGTCGTGGTGTGCACCTATAGTCCCATCTACTCAGGAGGCTGAAACAGGAGAATTGCTTGAATCTGGGAGGCAGAAGTTGCACCACTGCACTCCAGCCTGGGCAAGACAGAGCAAGACTCCATCTCAAAAAAAATTTTTTAAAAAAGACTGGTACAACTCACTGAAGATAAAATCTGGGCAGAACTTTTCCAAAAATAAATTAGTTGAATAATATAGAGCATTTTGCAACAATAGTCATTCCCAAGAGACTACCAGCTTGGGGGATGCAGCCAGTCTACCAACTCAGAGGGGCCCTGAGCCAGCAAATCCATTTCAAAGCCTACTGAAACAGCCCCTTCCTTCTCTCTTCCTCCTCTCCTTTCTTCACTCACTGTCCCTTTCCTTCTGTCCCCCTTCTCCACTGTCCATACTTGGAATTGCCTTCCTTCCCCTACTTTCCCTTTTGCTTTATTTTCTTGATTAAGGATTTATTTTTCCAAGACCTAGTCTTGCTTTCACAGCATCTCCAGTCACACTGACTCTGGGGGCAGAGGGGACACTGCTCCTTGCCCCACCCCCACCCTGTGTGCCATGGGCAATTTAGACATAATGAGATGGTAAGCTTGACAGTTGTCTTTGAAATGTATGCCCGTTATAAAGTCAAATGGTGAGACATGCATGTGGGCATGTTTTAAACAACCATTCCTAACAGTTTTGTATAATAGATTCACTCACGTTATCTCATTATCTCTGGGCCTCTTTTATAAGATCAGAGAGGTTAACAATGTGGCCAGTGTATTCATTTGCCCATTGGCTGATTAAAAATGTATATATATTTGGCCAAGGTCTCCCAGCTTGAAAGTGGCAAAATTGGGACTTGAACTTTAGTTCTTGGCAGTATGTTTCCTGCCATATTTCTTAGGTGAAGGGACATTTGTCCTTTGACTAAAGTAGAAGCCAAATCTAAATAACTAAAGAACCCAAATAGAGTAAGATCAACTGCTTTACTGGGCTTACCGAGTGTCATTTAGGGAATTTTCCCGTCCTTTGGTGTTAGAGCCAAATTTCCTCATCTTTGGGGGAAATTTTGGAACCTGACTTCTCACTTCCCAACAGAGGGAGTGGCAAAAGTCAGGTGTTCTCAACAAGCACATTGAATCGATTGAAGACTTTGGATAAATGCTAAGTGGAGACCTGTGGTTCCACGCCATAGAGCAAAGAACATACCATTTTGACCAAAAAAATATCAAAGCCAGTTGTTAACACTTTGCTGCTTTGTCCTTTAAAATCCTTCAGAGAAAAAAACCAAAACCTGAGTAGTACCTGTATCTGATTTTAACTAGGTCTTAAGTCAGCAGTTCTCAAAGTGTGATCTCCAGACTAGCAGCACCAGGAACACAGGAACTTGCTAAAAATGCAAATTCTCAGTCTCCACCCCAGACCTAGCAAATGAGAAACTCAGAGTTAAACCCAACAATCTTGTTTTAACAAGTCCTTCAGATAATTCTGATGCTGAGGTTTGAGAATCACTGATTTAAACCATCAATAGAAAACTCTATTTGCCCACCTGAATGGGCAGAAGTATGATTAGAAGCCTGGAATCTCTGTATATGTGTGTCCCATATGCTCTGCAAAAAGGCATGCATTCTTAACTGGTGTTTTGTGATTAGATTAGTTGTGCTTAGAATTTGCTTGGTTCTCTTGCAAAATATCCTGAAGTTTGTTGAAGAAAGGATTGATCGTGTCCAGTAAAATAATGGGTCTTGTGAGTAGTTGACAAGGAGCCACTGTTGAGACCTTACCAGATACAAAGCCAACTTCAAGCCTACTCTCTGTCACAGTGTGTAAGCCTCAACCATCCCCCTCCTACTGCCAGCAGAAATCTTTCCTGTTTCAACATGTGATACCAATTCTGCCCCAAAGGAAAGAGAAGGCAAAATGAGCAGAATTTGTTCGTTCTCTAGCGCTAATGCAGTGAAGGGGGGATGAAAATGCTTTAGGAGATGCTATGATTGGGAAGGATATTATGCCACATACCATTTCCATTCTTCCCCCAGTGCCAGCCACTGATGAGCAGTTTCACATCCCTGTACAGGGTGGCACACTACCTAGTCTGTTTTCACTGCTAGCAAAGATTCACAGTGCCCGTCTGTGTTGTATACCCAGAGAACAGGGGTGACCAAGACACCTTCCTGCCTTTTAGAAGAGACATTTGATCTATATTTTTCCTGCCTGGAATCATGGAGACTCCTGTCTGGTCTGGCTGCAGCCTGACCCTCCAGATGCCTTCACTGGTGGCTGACGTTTGACACAGCAGGAAAATCACAAGTCTGACTCCTGTGATTTGAGGAGACAGCTGGGAGACCTCCCTGCTGTGGTCCCTGCCAACATAGGAGCATGACCCTACATCCAGGGATGGGCTTAGTCCAAATCAGAAATGCCTGTGTTCTCTCAGGCCTTAGCCTCCAGCTTCCCAACACTGAGACCTGGGGCATGAGAGCTTCGCTGCTGGAGTCCTACCTTATTCTCACCAAGTCACCCCCGACTGACCCTTTGGGCCTTTGGCAATAGTATAAATGTGTGTTTTAAACTTCTCCATGGACAACCACCCGGCTCTCTGAAGATGCCCTCCATCCTCTCCAGCGTCTCAGAAGGTTTGGTTCTTCCAGGTGCCAATAAAAAGGAACAGTGGGAGCTGATGGCAGACCAGCAAAGGGCCCCTCACTGTCCCTGCTAGACTGCTACAGCATGAGTAAGGCCCCTGTTGGTGGATCTCAGGCCTCAGAGGCCGAGGGTTCCAAGCACCCCAGCGAGGCTGCCCCCGAGCCTGGGAAGGCTGGCTGCATCCAGGAGGGCTCTGCCTAGCTGCTCCTAAGCTCTGCCCTCTTCTTTCCAGATCACACGGCAGCAGTATCAGAACGCACTCACTGCCTGCCACATGGACAGCTCACCTCAGTCCCCTGACATGGAGGCCTTCACAGATGGGGACTCCACCAAGGCCCCCACAACCCGGGGCACACCCCAGACCCCTAAGGATGACCCCGCCATCACGCTCCTGAACAACAGGAACAGCCTGCCGTGTAAGTCAGCTGGGCAGACGGGCAGGCCGGGCTGGTGTGGGGTGAGGACGACCCTGCCTTCCTCTTCTAGCCCTGCCCAGGGCTCACACCACCTGAGCCCTGGGTCTTCTCCAAAGCAGAGAGGTGATGCACGCGCTGTCCTCCCCAGGCAGCCGCTCAGATGGGCTGAGAAGCCCTGGCGAGGTAGTGTACCTGAGGATGGAGGAGCTGGCCTTCACCCAGGAAGAAATGACTGACTTCGAGGAGCACAGCACACAGCAGCTCACACTGTCTCCGGTAGCCGTTCCCACGACAGCAGGTCAGGGAGGCCGACTGGGCCTAGCAGAACAAGGGGGATCATCGCCTTTGGGTACTGGGATGGCCCAGGGAAAGCTGGCTGAGGGGAGCCCTGGGACCGCAGCCCCTGCGTTAAACCTCCAACCTCCTTACACAGCCAGGGAAAGGAAACATTTACTGAGCACCTACCATGCATCAGGCCCTGTCTGATTCATTCTCCCAGGAAAACTGTGTAGGGCAGTATTAGGAGTTGGGTTTCTGCCTGGATTCAGACCCTGGCTCCTTCATTTAGGAGTTATGCAATTTTAGGCAAGTTATTAAACCTAAGACTCAGTTTTTTTTGTCTGAATAGATAAGTATCCTTATGTTAATAGGTATAAATTATGACAGCTATCTTATAAAGTAGCTTTGAGCATAAATGAGATAATGTACATAAAAGGCATATCACAGTGTTCAGTACCATGCTTTATAAATGTTACGTAGCTATTATTAGGCCTACCTCACAGATTAGGAAACTGATTAGGAAACATTCTAACTAGCTGTGGCTTTGACCAAAGGTGTAGTCTATAGACTTTTCCTGAGGTCTCGGATCATATCACCTCCGAGACGCTGAACACTGCTGCCTTGACAGTGGTGTTGCTCTGAGCGCCCAGGGTCCCAGCAGTCCTGAGAAGCTTCTGTGTTTGCCTCACTAAGATGTACTTCCCCAAGCTTTCAGTAGCCCCCTAAGCCTGCACCCAAGCCAGTAGTTCCCCTGCCCGACCTGCCAGACCTACTCCAATCCATAGTATAAGACTCCTCAAGTCCAGAGCAACAACCTGAAAAAGTGCTCAAAGATTTTTAAAGTTGGCCTGGCACGGTGGCTCGTGCCTGTAATCCCACACTTTGGGAGGCCCAGGCAGGCAGATCACCTAAGGTCAGGGGTTCGAGACCAGGCTGACCAACATGGTGAAATCCCGTCTCTACTAAAAACACAAAAATTAGCCAGGCATGGTGGCGGGCGCCTGTATTCCCAACTACTCGGGAGGCTGAGGCAGGAGAATCGCTTGAACCTGGGAGGCGGAGGTTGCAGTGAGCCGAGATGGCGCCACTGCACTCCAGCCTGGGCGACAGAGCGGACTCCGTCTCAAAAAAAAAAAAAAAAAATTAAAGTCAACAAGACAATATGCTTGAACTTGTGGCTGACCCACAAAATCTGAGACATACATGGTCACTGTTCCAGGACCTGAATTTAGAACTGATGTTCTTTTTCTGCCCTCAACACCAAATCTAGTAGCTAAAGCACACAGCAAGAAAATGTAACAAACGAGTAAGAACGAAGGTGATGGAGTAGTCTTGGAGATCATCTAGTCCACCCTCGTCCTGTGACACATGAGGACCCTGGAGGCCTAGAGAGGGGAAACAACTTGCTCAAGTCCAAAAACTGCATCATTAGCAGGCTCAGCCTCGTGGCTTCAGTGCAGTGCAGTTTCCAGCACACCACTCTGCCTTCTGTTTAGGTTTTTATTTGCATTGGTGGTAAGGCTTGGCCCCCTTCTGGGCTCTCAGGTTCTGTAATTCTTTGAACTCCCATTGAGTCCTGCGGGAGAAGACAGGGACATTGTTGTTGAACCCTGTGGCTTTCCGGGGTTTGTGCAAATAGACCAAGGAGACCTCCACCTGTCCTCACGTGTGCTTTTAGTCTGGCAAATAGACTGGATGGAGAACACGTTGTTCTTTAACCCCTCTCTCTTGCCAAACAGTGTTTGAGGAGAGGGAATGATTTCTGACTTTGCATGGATCGTTGCATTCCTGCTCCTGTTCTCCATCTTTTTGTTCCTTTTGTGGCACTAAAATGCCTCTTGCTAACTAATGACACCCAGCACTTTCCTGGGCATCCCTGCCTTATTACACCACCCTCGCTTTGGCTCACGTCTTAAACTTCACCTGCTGAGGGATGTCACTCAGAATCACCCTGTCTTGATGCCTGAGTGTGTAGATTGAGACAACTTGAGTTCTCTCTTCTTTCCTTTCTCAGCATCAGATAGCGAATGTTGTAACATCAACCTGGATACAGAGACCAGCCCCTACAGTAGCGATTTTGAGGAAAACGTGGGCAAGAAGCTGCTGAGAACCTTGAGTGAGTAGCTAGTTCTTCATCCAGATGAAAGCCACCCTGCTGATGGTTAGTAGGAAAAACATGTTAGCATCTTCCTCCTGAGGGAGGAGCCAGGGACTCCTCTTAGAAACCCTAATGAAGTACAATTGTGGAAATCCGCAAAAGGGATTGGGCCAGCACTGCACCCTTGATAGTTTTGGGATCTGTCCCATTCAGTTGTTTTCCTCTAGGACAGGAGACTGCACACCATGCCCACAGGTCAATTCTGACCTCCCTCCTTTACTGGTTTTTGTAAGTAAGGACTTACTGGATCACAGACAGATCCATTTGTTATCTATGGCAACAATGTCAGAGACAAGTAATTGTGACAGAGACCATATGGCCCACAGGCCTCTAATATTTACTGTCTGGTTCTTTAAAGAATTAGTGTCCAGGAGACTCAATAGAAAGAGAGCAATATCCTCCACACACGGAAGTCAGTGGTGGAGAGAACAAGGTGAAGATACGCCTTCCTAAAAACAGACCTGGGAACAGATTGCTCTCTCATCCTTGAGGACAACTATGTAATTATGACCACCTGCCCCACTGCAGAAAGGAGGTTGCTTCAGAGCTAGAGAATGCAGGTCCCTGGAAATAGCTCCCAGCTACAGCCATCAACCCTGATTCATGGGACATCAAAGCCTATGAGATTGGTCCTCTCTGAGGGTGTCTGGCAGTCAAAGGGGCTGGCCCCCAGGGGCACGGGAGGCATAGGCCTGAGGTGTTACATGGGCTTTACTCAGTCCCCTCCAGGAAATCTCAATTCCAGGCACTAGCCTGGGTTTGTGACTTTTCAGAGATGGCATCTTATGTGAAAAGTACGTCCTAATCTTTCAAGATGTAAATATGCCAATATCAGCACCAGCATACAATGCAGGTTAGTTCTAGCCAAGCTGTCAAGGGCTTTGTCTCCATTTCTGCTTCTGTTTTGAAAATAACTCAGACTGCCAAGCAATTATGAATGTTCCTCCAGTGTTACAGGCTGATACTTGCAACCTGTTTTTTTTCAGGTGGCCGAAAAAGGAAGAGGTCACCAGAAGGAGAGAGAAGCTCTGAGGACAACTCCAATTTAACACCTCTGATCACATGACAGGGCGAAGCCAGCATTCATTGGGTGTGTGAAATTCCAGAGCTTTGAGGGAGAACCCACCCTCCCATCATCTGCTTCCCCCAAGGCCTCCCACAGGTGACAGAACGTTCTGCCTTCCCTTCCATCTCTTCCTCCCTAGCTGTCAGTTTGGCAGATTTTCCCTCATTACCTCCAGTTTGACTCACAACTTTGACATGGCCATAACAGAAGCAGGTGCCGCTAATGGAACATGCTAGAAATGGTCTTTTCCACAGCATAGTCTGGGACTGGAGAAGAGATGTCTGACTGCAAGCTGATAATGCCACTCTGGGACCCCTAATGTTCTTCTTTGTTCTTGGGGATCCCCTGATGCCACAGGAGACCTCTCATCTTGGAACTCGCCATTCTTTCCTCCAGAACAAAATGTTAACTTTCTAATATATTTCATGCATAGCTTGGCTCAGAAGGTGCCATTGGCAGACAGGCACATGGGAGGCTGCAGTAGGAAGTCTGAAGATTAGTTCAGGGGATGGACCAAGAATTTCCCCCAGAGCTTTAAAGAAGTGGGACTCAGCCATGTTGGCATGTGATTGACATTACAGCACAGAAAACTGTTAGTGACTGGTTTCCTGTTAGATAAGGGTTCCAGAAGCCTGGGGAAATATGTCTCAGCTGGAATGGAAAGAATGTGAGATGGAACCTCAAGTCACTGTTTTTACCAGGGACACATCTGTTTTGGCTCCCAATCAGCAGTCTTCAATAGATCAATAATTCTGCCCTGGAAGAGAAGGAACAGGATGCAGAGAGACCCCGTTGGGAGCCAGAGATGGAACTTCAGGTCTTAAGTGCAAATCAAAGCAAAAAACAAACAAAACTTACATGGAAAAACTGTAAGTGCTGAAAGCAAGTTTAGCCATGACAAGCCAAAGAGTGCCCAGGTCAGCCAAGAAAGATACATACTCTCATGGGACTTCAGTGAGAGTTACACAGGAATGTTGAAGAATCATTCTTCTTTTTCATGCATTTGTCCCTCTCCCACCCCTTACTACACCCTAGCAGACCAGCTGAGTGTACTTTATTCCAAGAACTTAGTAGATCTCTGGTGTTTCTCCTGAAGTTGGGGCAGGTGCAATTCCAAGCATAACCACCAGATGGCAGAGTGACCACACAGACCTGCTTCCAAGAATAAAACAGTTCTCAAATGCAACCACAAAACTGGGCGCGGTGGCTCAGGCCTATAATCACAACACTTTGGAAGGCCAAGGCAAGTAGATCACTTGAAGTCAGGAGTTTGAGACCAGCCTGGCCAACATGGTGAAACCCCATCTCTACTGGGCATGTAGTCCCAGCTACTTGGGAGGTTGAGGCAGGAGAATCACTTGAACCTGGGAGGCAGAGGTTGCAGTGAGCTGAGATGACACCACTGCACTTCATCTTGGGCAACAGAGCGAGACTCTGTCTCCAAAAAAAAAAAAAAAAAAAAGGAAAGAAAGAAAAAGAAAAGCACCACAGCCAGCCTTAGGGAAAACTTGGAAGTAAGTGAAGTTTGTTTTCAGAATACGTATCTCCCTTTCCAATCTATCTCCTACCCTTTAGATGCTCTCAGTCAGGTACTCATTGAACTCATTGATTGAGTGCTGTCTGCTAAATCTCCAAACCATTCCCAAACCTTTCCCCATGGTATACCATCCAGCGTCCCTCCCCTTCCTCCAAAACCCTCACTCCCACCTCCCCACACCCATTCAGTCATTCACAGGGAGGAGGGAGACCGAGCATTCCTCTGGGTTATCTGCATCTCAGAAGAAAATGCTTACCCACAGGAACCGTTAACTCAGGGGTTCTTAACTTGGGGTCCATCACCCCAGGCGGTCCATAGTTGGACTTCAGAGGGTCTATGAAACCCCTAAAACTGTTAGTATTTAATGTATTTATTCTTGTATGTTTTTTCCACAGCGTTAAAGCTTTCATAAGGTTCTCAAAGGTCTCAGACCTACAAAGAGTTAAAAACAAAAAACAAAACAAACAAACAAAAAAACCACTATTTTAAATAGTGTAACTTTCAGCCCAGGGTTTCTATAATGCAGAGTGAAGTGGAAACTGGGCAGTTCGAGACAGGTTTTTAATTATAAGTGGTCTTCTCAAGTGTCCATCGATTGATGGGGAAGGCTGGCACCCACCAAGAAGTGGAAGTCCTCAGAAATTCTTGGCACACCCTACAGTATTGCACAACCAACACCCCCACATAACTTTGTCCCCTCTTCCCAATAACCCAGAGCAGGTGTTGCAGACAGGAGGGCCACAGCATGTGGAAGTAAAGACTTTGGAGCTAGAGACGCCTTTTCCTGCAATGATTATTGACTTCACCACACCCCTTGCCTGGCCTGGCCTGAGGCTCAGCAGTGCATGACTTCTCATAGATAACTTCACAGCCATCCAGTCCCAACACCTGCTCTTGCCTGGTAGGAATAGGCGAAGCGTCAGCCCTCAGCGTTGGGTACCTAGACCCAAACCAATAAATGGTGAGTTTTGAGCAAGAACCACCATCATGCAGGCTTCCTGCCAGCTGACCACTGGCCCCGGGGGTGCCTGCCTGGCTGGTCTTCATCACCCCTGAGGCCACCAGACTCAAGCCACTGCTGTTGCATTACACCCATCCCTTTGCAAAATCCCTATGGAGCCTGTCACCACTCCCCTCCCTATACACCCCCACCCCACAAAGATTTTCTTCAGGTTAAAAAAAAAATGGTTTAAAAAAAGATTTTAAAATAAAGCATTTATGAAGGCTCAATAAATTGTAAATAATTTTTAAATAAAATGAAAATGCCTTTCCTGGAACGTGGCTGTTTTCCTTGCCCCTGGAATCTTCTGACGTGGCTTCATTTGAGATACAGGTTGAGTGATGCCCACGTGTAATGATCTCACCTGTGGCCCACCTGCATGAAGAGGCATGCCGCTCCGGGCCAGGTGTGAGGCTGTGGTGAGGTCACGGGGAAGCCTTGGCACACTACTTTGGGAGGCCAGATGGTAAGATTTTTCAGGAGTGAATGCCAGAAATGAGAAGTAAAACCCAAACGAGAAGCCAGTGTGCATAAAGACAAGGAAGGAACACTAAGACGACAGTGAGAAGGGCTGGCATTTGCTGAACCCATGTGAGGGGTGAGGTGCTGTGCTGGGTGCCGTCCAAATTCAAGGTCTTGGGGGCTAAACCCAGATAAGCCCCTGACACAGAATGTTGGTCACACTAGCTGGCTTCTGCAGAACCTTCGGAAAGGAGTCCAAGTGGCATGACTCTGGCAGTTTGCAACCAAAGGCTAGGGTACAGAACACAAGAATGAGCCAGGCCTGTTGGTCAGTTTTAAGCCGATGCTGGAGGGAGGGAACAGCCAGGCAGGTGGGAAGGTGTGTTTGGGCATTTAATGCCTGTGTGGAAGGAAGGCTGAAATCTGACACCTACTACTAATTTCTCAAAGCAAACAGGAGGATTAGGGGCCTATGCCAAAACCTCTTAAGGTTCTTCTCAGGAACCTCAGTAGAGGCTATTCATTTCACTAACAGTAATAATAAATGATAGAAACAACTATTCTGCCAAGGGCTTTATGTTCCAAGTATTGTGCCAAGTACCCATTAGCTCATTTCCTTCTCAACCACCCTGTGGCAGAGCGGTTACTGTCTGCGAGGTTACTGTCTTCTTGCTCACGGTTACACACCTGGGAACTGGCAGAGCCTAGACGTCGGAGTGCCTTGCTCTTGAGTGGGCAAAATTGGTGAAACAATCCCACCTCTGAAGTTCACTGGCATGTCAGAGGCCTGAGGAGTCCTGCTGGCTTCCCAAACTCACAACCCTTCTTCAGGTGAATGTAGTGGGAGCCACACCGACCAACATATCTGTCAGAATAGAAGTAAGAAGGCCAGATTCCCATTGAGATGGGCTTTTTTCAAGTGCTAAAAACATTTGAGCACTTTGGTACTGTCACTTAGGTTTAAAGATGTGTTTATCTTTAATAGTTTTGGCAGCCCCCTAAAGAGAAAATTTTAATTTTCCCTAACAAGAGAAATTAAATACTAATAAGATGGTCAGGTAGGATTGCACTTTGGAAGGCGACATTTTAGTATTTCAGGCTTTTTTTGCCCCCAAAGAACCAATTTTCGTCCCCATGGAGGCAGTATCATCCCCATGGAGAATGAGTGGTTTAAAGTGTTTGGAGAGAATGGCAGATTGACAGAAGGTAGAATCCTTCGACTTCTCTATTGGCTGCCTTCCCTTACTAATGACAAGCATCTTTAAATTGGAAGGAGAACAAAGACTGATTTGTTCAGAAGGCTGTGAAGAGATGGGTGGGAGGGCATCTAATCACGTTCACTCATGAACTTCCACCAGCCCAACCACACACTGGCAGAGTGAGTGCCCTCTGAAGGACTCCCGGGGCTCCGGCCAGACAGGGAAGGATCTGGAAACCACATCCTGTGCAGAAACAAAAGTGGTGGGGGAGAGGCGGTTCACATAGAAAAGTGTAAACAAGGAATGACAACTGCTACTTTCAAATACTTAAAAGGTGGTAGATTAGAAATGCCAGTAGATTTACTATCTGTGGTTTAAAGGAAGGAAAGGAGGGGCAAGGGAGTGGGACAATTTTTTTATTCTGGTTGAAGGTAGATGAACTTTCACCATGAGCTAAAGGTAAATGAGCCTCTTTTTTTAATTAAGAGGCTCCACCAGCAGAATGGGATGCCTCACCAGGTATTTAAAGAATCCATCACCACCACCACCACCCCCCAATTTAAATGGATGAGTCAGAGACATATGGGAGAGACTATGTCACTGGGGGAGAGGCAGGACTTGATGACTTCTAAGACCCCAATTATCCCTCAGGACTGTAGGATTTTCTAACAACCCAGATAAGTCCTAGAAAGTGGCAGATCCTATTAAAATCACAAGAATTAACTTTAAATATTTAAAAACTCCAAATAATAGACCTCTTATGTTAAGTAACATCCAACCCCACCAAATTCTACAAAATGGCCACTTAGAGTGGCCCTTGGACTCTGAAAATTGTGATCTATGTTTCTGTGGTTCTAACTGCTTCAATAAACCAGGAGGGACTCTGACAGCAGGGGACAGGCTGATGTTCTATAATCAACCTAAGTGATGTCATCCCCTCTCACAAGTCCAAGAAGTCCAGTTTCTTAAGTAACATAAGAAGACAGCTGGCCTCCAAATGACAAGCCCGCAAAATCGCCAGGGAGTTATATGGTAGTTCACTGAAGGAAGCTATTCCTTTAGCCACTAGTAAAACCCTCAAAAGCATTCATTTTAAACTGGGGGTCACAACCTATTAATGGTCACAAAATCAAGTCCATGGGTCTTGATCAACATTTTTATTTTACTTTTTTAGGTGAAGTAGAACACAGTAGAATGGCTCAAAAATAGAACGCACTACACACATCACGAGTGAATACTGTTTGGTCAAACTTCTGTTTCAGTTAAATATGTGTGTGTCATGATTAAATATCCTTCTTAACACAGTTGCCCTAAAGAACCAAAGCTTAGGACTAGGGACACAACCATGCAGAAAGAGCAGGCAGACCAGACACTCCGGGTTGAGATGATGAGTTTAATGCCACAGCCGACACCCACATTCACACTTGGCTCCTTCAGACAACTTGATCTTTGGGACTAGACTTTGTACAGAGTCAAACACCACACAGAAGCACGTGGTTGCTACACGCAATACTCCTGCCTTTTAGCCAGGGGGACAAGATACCTATGTCTCATGATCAAAGTACTCTTTTATTCTTAAATAAAAATTTTAATTTGCTTTGACCTCCCAAGGCTCTAATCCCAGTCTCCAAATTCGTCTCAAGGGATGTTCTCTTCACGTGGGGACGGTTTAAACAGAGGCCGCCTCACCAGAGCAGCCTTTCAGTCCTGCAAGTGTCTCTGATCCATGATATGTACATGTAGGTTTGTGCAGGCAGGGAACACGCATGACAGAGAACTACTTTGGTGGTACTGGACGGGTGGTGTTTCTTCACTGGATTTTGGTGATGGCTTCATGGATGGAGGTGGCCACATAATCTAGATTTTTGGTGGTTAAGCCACTCACGTTGATTCGACCACTTGGCAGCAGGTAGATGTGCTTTTCATTGATCAGATACTCAACCTGCTTGGCTGTTGAAAACCAAAAGGAGACATAATCAGAGCAGAGGGGATCCTTAAAGCAGTGGAGGCTCAGCAATTGTATGGCAATTATAGCTTTCCTTCTTTCCCCTTAACAGAGAGAAGCAAAACAAAAGGCGCTATTTTGACCAACTGACAAACAGAAAAATATACTCACTAGATTCTGGAAAGTACTCTTACTAGTTCACCTTTGAAGCCCCAGAAAATTCAATATGGCTACTACTGATGGGAATTTTAATCTGGGATTGCCTTCCAACCAAGCCTTATACATTTACATCCACCAGGACACCCCTATCAACTAAAAACAACCATCAGATGGACAGCGTTATGAAACACTGGCTATGAAGTGCCTCCTTTAGTTCTTCCCTAACCTGGACTTAACACTGAGCACCCGCAGCAGCCTCCCTTTGACATTTCATATTTACAGTACACTGGACAAGGCCCCAGGCATGAGGTACCTGATCAATACTGTGTGAATTAACCAACGAGCTGAGAAATGACACAGACCTCTCTGACCCAGCACCATCAGACTTCTGTTCATTTCTCAGCTCTCTCGCAGATGCAGCAGAGTTTTTCCATGTTTGCAGAAATGTATCACATGTGAGTAAGAACAGACTACCTGTACTTCCTTTATACAACAGTCTCTAGAGCAGTTTTGCTATTTGGCAAATCCATTGATAGAATTTTAGTGAACTCGGCTGGGCACAGTGGCTCACGCCTGTGATCCCAGCACTTCGGGAGGCCAAGGTAGATGGATCACCTGAGGTCAGAAGTTCGAGACCAGCTAGGCCAACATGCTGAGACCCAGTCTCTACTAAAAATACAAAAATTAGCTGGGCGTGGTGGCACGTGCCTATGGTCCCAGCTACTCAGGAGGCTGAGGCAGGAGAATTGCTTGAAATCCAACAGGAGGAAGTTGCAGTGAGCAAAAAAAAAAACCCTGCACTCCAGCCTGGGTGACAGAGTGAGACTCTGTCTCAAAACATTTAAAAAAAAAAAAAATTAGTGAGTTATTGCTTAAGTAATTAGTACTTTTAAGATACCACCAACCTGAGGAAATGGAATAATAATAAAATCATCATAATCAGAGGAGCGAACACTTATGTGCTAGGCAGTGTTCTAAGCACTGCATCTTAGTTCATCCTGATAATAACTGTATCGTGCCCATCTTATAAATAGGCCATAAAGACGTTAAATGGCCTTCCGAGGTCGCACAGCTGGTCAGTGGTGGATGTGGGATTTTTCAGGCAGGATTTTAAGTCCAGGCTGTACACTGTGATGCTACACTGCCTCTCTATGGAAGTAAAAACTCTGGACCCTGGACTCAGGGCTCCTTGAGGGAAACCAAAACAGTTCACCCCAAAATATACTTTGACATATTTTGAGATGGCTGTTCAGAGGGCCTACATACACAAGTAGCCCTGCAAAGCTGTCTTTTGTGAGAGAGATCTGTATCTGTAGAGAAAATCTGCATGGCTGCAGCTAGACTTTCTCTGAGGACCTCCCTTGTCCAGATCTACGGGAAATTAACTGAGAGTCTGATGCCTTTAAAGGTCTAAAAGAAATAGACCTTTACCAGCTATTTTCTCCGAGGGCTGCTACCTGTGACTTATCTACATAATATAACAAGACCACCTTTGCTAACCAGGCCTTCTCT